TTCCGCCAATTCGAGATTTTAGTGGCAATTTTTCATCGATTTAGTCAATTCTTTATTGTAGTCCATATATGATTATATACTTAATCCACGATAATTTTATGATTTTTTTTGTGTGATGTAAATTTAATGGTCAACATAAGTTCATACAGGGAAAGAACATCTCAATATTCATAAATTGATGAAAACAATGAAAGTTAATAATGTAGTACCCTCATTTCTTATTGGATTCATAAAAAAACAACATTTTATAATGAGTTTTGATAATTTTTTTGAATGTTTTTTAAGGCTTATTCAGAGCGATTCAGCCCGATTCCCGATCCGGATCGTCGGTTCGCCGATCCGGATCGGTTTTTGGGATGCCCGATCCGGGTCACCGATCCGTTTTTTAAACCACTAGTCTGATGTATATTGGAAATCACTCTTGTCAAAGGCAATACGGACTCTAGGAAATCATATTGTAGAGTCTAAGCACTCCTCAACTTGCTAGGGTTCTTGTTCTGATAGAAGGTGATTTCACAAGTAAAGTTGACTGAGTTAATATTGCTGTGCCCTAAATTTACTCATGCAGAGACATGTTTTCCTGAGAAATTTAAAGGATGTTTGTATAGTGAGAGAGCAGTCTTAGCACCTAGGCCATGTTAGCATGTCAAAGGAAATAACCTTGATCATTTTTTATCTCAGTTGATGATATTGTTTGCAGATTGATGCAGTCAATATGTGCTTTTCTGACAAGTTCTCTTTTGATATCAATGGCAACACAGTTTTGGTAATCGTTTTTTTTCACAATATCAATAGGTGAACCTCTTCTATTTCAGGGTTGGATATTGGATTTTTTTTTGCATGTACTAGTATGTCTTCTGATTAATGCAATAGATGCAATTCTCGTCGGCATTGCAATTGCTCCATGATCCCGGTTGATATTCCATTTTGATTAATACAGCTTTCTCATCCACAACGTAGGGTCCCTTGGAGATTATTTAGACAAGTTTGGCGATCCTCTTGGTTGGAGTGATGGCAGTAATCCTCATTATTCTTGTGGTTACTTATCATCAAAGTTGAATTTTAAATCCAAGGAAGTTTCTATGACTGTATATATGTCCTAGAGGAAGACACTGATACATAGATTCTGTTCCTTTCTTGTGTTATGCACCTACACTTTGTCCTATGGCACAATTTATATCTGAGCAAGGCTACATGTCCTGTGGCAACAATGTGTTGCAGCAAAGCTTGCCAGGTTTGCATGGCTAAGAATAGAGATCTGAGCAAAGGTACCATGCATTTGTGCCTTTAGGTTTATCTTAGTCTTTACCCAACTCCTAATGGTTTAAATGATTCTCATGGAAGTTAAATGGAGTGTTTTGATATTGTAGCCACTGGGGGCCGAGCAGCCATTGCCTCTTTTGAGCACTCACAGTTTTTCACTGTTGATATCTCAATAGTGACAAATTATGCATGAGCTTTTATGCAATAGTTAAAGCTTCCTATCAAAATGAATGCTTTTATAGTTATTTTCACTGCTTTGAGTGCTTGACACTCCATTGATAAACCCCTAGGACCTTGGTCATGCATTCTGATGTTCCACTGATAAACCCCCCAACACCTTGGTCGATTTAAGTTCGAGCCATGCATCTTATACTATGTTCGGGGACCCATATTGATATCATACTTGATTGGAATGTCTTTGCATTTCTGACAAAAATTTGGGATGGTTTATTTGATGGTCAAAGGATTTTCTATGAAAACCTTTTGTTTTAAAAATATTTTGTGATGCCTTTTACATAGTGACTTGATCCATATGCTGTACACATTTAAGGAGGGTACTCCTTTTCTCTTCTAAAGTGGGTAAAAATAATAATATAAATTTAGAAATCACATGGTATTGTGTTTTAAATTTGATCTTTATTTTCTTCCTAAGTTTGTTATGCTTTGTATGATCCCAATCTTATTGCAGGGTTTTCTCGTATATATTAATTTAGAAATGATATCATACTGTGTTTTAAACTTCTTACTTTTCTGTTTATTCCTTCCTGAAGTAAATTATGATTATATGATCATACTATTGTTACAGGGTTTTCTGGAAAGCAATGAGGGTGACCCTGAGTTGCTTATTTTCATCCCGTAAGTACGTCTTTGCTCCATTTTGATATAGTAGAATGTGCACGAGTGTTGTATAATTTTAGAAGCTGATATCATATTATGAAGATAGTAGTTGATTTGGGTAAATCAGAGATCAATGTTGTATCTAGAGTTACATAATTTTGGTGCCATTAAAAGTTTGGTGTGTACTAATATATGGATTCATGTTATCTTGATTATGGAAGTAGCTCTTTGTAAAGCTTAATCACTCCCTGGTATTCCTGGTGTTTTACTTATGGATCCTGTACGTTTTATCACGTTCTTTGAAAATCGTTTGGGCCCTCTTTATGTGGAATCTGGGTAACACTTCTACTCTCGGAGTTATTTAGTGATTGGTTACATTTCTGACTAGATGTATTGATTGTGTTTCACCTGTTGATAAGCTGGGTGACTGTCACCATTTCCCTTTCCATTTCTTGTATTGCTTGCACAATGTTTCTTCCATGACTCTTTAGTTTTGCTTTCATTGGTATTGTGCAAGAACAGTGAACATTTTAAGTTGCTGTGGGATCTAAATCCTCTAGTGCTTGTTATCCTCTTGTATTTCTCATAGGCCAATCAAACTACGCATGTCATGTAGAATTTAAAATCGGTGGTTTCTTTTGTTAACTTAGAATATCATAGATCTTGGCATATGGACTAAATTTTTGTTTCTCTTTTGTGTTTCGTCTCCTTTCGTGGAAACACAAACTATAAGATGTTCTCTAATGATCGAGGTTTGATATTTTGTTGGATCCTTCTTCTAGTTAGGACCATGATTGAATCCAAATATTGTAATCATGGGTGCTTCTTTTAATAGTAGATTGTGTGGTTTTAGGGGTTTGCTAGGAAGTTAACTCGTGCTGGTTGTAAAATCACTTGCCACTCATTGGTGGAAGGGGTATGATGTCGATTGCTATGTTTTCCATTGGAGGTTTAATATATGTTCTAGCTTGGGAGAAGCATTTGGCAAACTTGGAGGGAGCATTTTGTCTATTGTACTCTTGTCATATATGTGTCTGATTGATATGAACGCATTGTATTCAACACGTTTTCTCAAAAATGTTTTGTGGGACTGTTTTGTTGGACATGATCCTTAACAATAATATGGACATGTTGATGACCTTATACATGGGATGCATGTATTTGTCTACAAATATGGAACTTCATCTCAGAGTGGTGAGCGAGAAAGGCATCAGGGAGGTTGAATCCTTATTGAAGAACAACCTACAAAATTAATACATTATATATATTTAACAAAAAAGGATAAATGAGGCAAAAAGTTGGGAAAGATGTATTTGTCAACAAAATTAATGCATTATGTATATTTAACAAAAAAAGGATAAATGAGGCAAAAAGTTGGGAAAGACATGTTTAAACTTCTACGTGCATTTTATCCACACATAAAAAAAAGAAAAAAGAAGAAAAGAAACTTGCATGTCAAAAATTTGGAACACAATTTTCTTAAGCTTTGATTTGAATACTCAAGTTCTAGAAACATGTCTCTAGAAATTGGACACGTGTCTACGAACATTGGGATATGTGTATGTCCCGCTTGTCTGATACAAATAAAACACATCTAGTGACACCCCTAGGGTGTCTCAATGGGCTTATCTATGTGTTGAGAAATCCATGTCATTTTTTGTCATCTCATACCTCTATAAGTCAGTCTCAATGGAATACATATCTTGTCTTCTCCAAAACCTTTATGAATCATTCTCATTGTTTCTATCAAAATCATGCAGGTTCTCGAAATGGACAGCAGCTAAATATAAAATACTAATCCAACTAGGAAGGAAACCAACTAGAAAGGAAACCATTTCTTTTTTAACAGGCGACGTCTATAAACCAAATACAGAAAGGAAAACAATCTACAATCAGAAAGTCTAAACCAATTTCAGTATTATGAGGAAACTTCAAATTCAAAATTGTACAAACCAAATACCAAAACCTTCATAATATTCATTTCTTCAAAATGCGAAGCCCTTTATGCATTCACTTGCTCCTTAATCTGAGGGTATATTCTTTTGATGTTTACTTTACTACTTTTAAGTATCTTAACATACTACATGGAAAGGCATATTGTTGTCATTCACCAGCTCAATTGCTTACAAATCATATCTTCCTCCTTATTTGTGTTACTGTGGTCTTGTAATAAATCTTCCTCATGGATGATTATTTTTCATTTACATTTTTCTGTGTTTCTAAGCTAATACCAACTTCATTTGAATATTGATTCTTAATCTTTTTGACTTCTAATAGTTGGGAACTTTCATATGGGAAAATGCTTACTCACTCAAATAGTTTTATTATTTTTCCTTTTCTTTTGGTAGATTTACATGTGATGTTAAGATAAAGAGCATATCAGTTGTTGGTGGTGCTGATGGAAAGAGTCCTTCAAAAATGCGAGCGTAAGTTTTTGTTACATAGGTTTCATGTGCTTTTTTGATGAGATTGGTTGCATACATTTGCTGTTTAGTACGACTTTTTCTGTCATAAGGATTGGATAGATAGTGATGTAGATAGATAGATAGACAAATGTGTATGTCAAAGACTCACTGAAATTCCTTTGTATAGGTTTGGACTTCAATATGGGACCAAGCACAAACAGTTTATGCAAATGGCAATGTTACTTCTGTAAATTCAATAGTTTTACATGACAATTGTATTTTGCTTGCTATTCTTGTCTTGCTCAAACTGATTAAAAATGCCTGATTCCTGATACACAATAAACAATATATATGCTCAAGAAAGAGTTCTACAGATTTTAGCTCTGATTAGTGGTAAGGTGCCTACTTAAACTATATGGGTCTCTTCCTGTCACTTTTATGGAGTTTTATACTCATTACTTGCAGATTAACTTATTTGGCATGGGCTTCTGGTTGTTCTCATAGTTATTTCTGAATCCATATAAGTATTTTTTTCTTAATTGTTTCCTAAGTTCTCATTATTCTGGGAGCAATTCCTTCATCCTCATTTTCTCAACTTTGTGCCTTCTGTGGCCTCTGTCGAAATAATTGTTTTTACCTCTCCTACAACTTCGATGAGCCATTGTTGGAGTGATGCAGGCACTATTGATAATTGTCCTCGCAGTTGGCTTGCTAATCAGTCCTTGACAAGCAAATGTCCGTTCTTTTTGTCTGTCTATCATTTGTTATCTTGCATCTACAAATCTATGGTGCATGTAAGTAGCTTGGATGCAATGTTGTGCTCACCCTCCCCCCCTCTTTCCTCCTTTTTTTGATTTTTCTTCTAACTCTGACCTGTCCTCTTTCTTCTCTCCCCCCTCTCTTTTTCTCTCTGACCTGTCCTCTTTCTTCTCTCCCCCTCTCTTTTTCTCTCTGACCTGTCCTCTTTCTTCTCTCCCCCTCTCTTTTTCTCTCTTCTTCTAACTCTAACCTCTCCTCTTCCCTCTCAGTCTTCTCTCCCAGTTACCCCACCTTAGTTCTTCTCCTTTCCTTCCTGTCTCTCTGGCTTAACCCTCTTCTGTCTCTTCTCATAATTCTCTTCACACTCTCCACTCCCCACACTATCTGCCAACAATACAAATACTCAAGCACCCATTATGTTGCTTCCATCTACTACTTATTTAACACGAGTTTAGATCATCCAACATGTGGGGCTGCCATATACTAATTATTTGGTAGACTTTCTTTTATTTATTCTTGGGAATTTTTGTACAGAGCTCCCAGCTTGTGGACTGCCGGAGACTTTCCACTCATGAGGAAATTGGAAATTGTAAACTATCTCCATTACTGATATATTGAGAACAGTTGCAAAAAAAAAAAATACACATTCAACTCCTCACCTTTTCCTATATCTCTCCTGATTCTCAGATCCTGAAATCCACAATGCTACTAATGAGAGAGACTGGTGAGGAAATGAAGGCATATGGAGAACATTTGATAAAAAAAAAAAAACTAGGGAGAAATCCACAAAGCCCAACTTTGGGAGCTAGGATAGTTGGACCATAAGCAAGACAAATATTCCTGGGAGAACATAGATGATGGAAAAGATCTTGGTTCAATGGTTTACCTGTCATATGGTCACTAGTTCCAGAATCAATAATCCAGACCATCGTGGGGGTAACGAGAAGAGAAAGTGAGTTACTTGCTACACTTGAGATGGGAATTGAGATGCATTGTTGTGTTCAAGTCTCCCAAGGGTTGAAGAATCATTAAACTAAAGTGGGAACAATAGTATGGGCAGTAGCTGTACGAGCAGTGGAAGGTTGACCATATAAAGATCAGCGGTTGTTCTTGTGTTGGCCATCCTTCTTGCGGTAATGCAGCGAAGATTTTTCTTTATTTTGACATTTCTCTTGGTTGGGATGCCCCTGAGCTATGCCTTCTTACATGGTTTACCTTTGAAATGGTGTTTTTGTATATTGCTGCTAGAGCAGGGTGCTCAACTGCAGTTGTTGGGTGGCTCATAACTTCCCTTCTCTTCTGGAATAGAAAAAGATTATTGGTCACGCAAGAGGAAGGAAGTTTGTCTTGAGCTAACTCAGCTGAGTTTTAAATTCTGAATTAAGGTACGCGAGTAGCTTATCAATCCGACAATCATGTACTTGTCTTCTATGCTTTTTAAGCCGAGCTGCACAATCTCTCTGAGGCACGTCATAGTATCTCATTTCTGCACATATCCCTTTCAGCACACCAAAATGTGCTGAAAGTTGACTGTGTGCTTTGTCAGATGAAGTTGGAATACCCATGCACTATTATATTTTTGAGAGAATTCATCTTGAAGGGCATCCCATACTTCTATGTTGTTCTTAGAAACAACATATTTTCATTTATATCAGGTTCCATGGAGTCAAGTATCGATGACTTGATTATTCCATCATTAGCTAGGGACCCTTGATGTCTTTTCTATATGACCCATTTTATATCACCCTAACAAACCAATTTGCACCAACTGTGCCTATAAAATGCCCACAAGATGGTATGAGCGGCTTGGACTAAAGTGTTTGTATAAAAATATTACCGTTGAGGTCAAGAAAGATTTCTAAAAACAGGTCTGCCAGCGAAACTATATGTAATTTTCTTCACAAAGAAAATTCCAAAATTCATGGAACTTCAATTGTAGATGCATAAGTCTTGGGCAAAATTATTGGTGCCTACCTTGAATCCGGATTTGGCTCGGTACATGTGTATCAATCTGCAAAACAGTTAATGTGTAAGTAGAGAAGCAATAAAAATTTAAAAGAACCACAATACGTCATATTCTTTTGATCCCAAACTTCTTGAGGGTACTAGAACGGTCAAAATGAACCAGCTCCACTACTTGGTGAACTTGATTAAGCATTAGACAAGTCGTAGTTTTCAAACACATAAAAACAGAGTGAAAACCATTGTTTCCTTCCAAACACTTTTGCTTTAAACCCTCTCAATTGATATGTTAAAAAACTCAAATGAATGTGCAGATGAAAGCCCTCAACAAATTAAAGGTTTAAATGTGTTTGAGCTGGTGATGTTTGTGGTGATGACATCAATGCTAGATTCTGATGGAAAGATTTGGCAACTCGATATGTATTTAAGGAAATGGAAGCTAGGACACACAAGGTCACTGACCCTATTCCATGTTAAACAGATTATTTGATTAGAAAAAGCCGAGTTGGCCTACACAGCAATGTTGAAGGAAAGTGAAGAATGGAGTATTCTTACAGCACCAATTCATATATTTTATATTTGTACATGAACAAAAACTGCCCTAGGCTTTTTTACATGTACAATTAAGTCCTTATATGAGTTGTACTGCATAAATATAGCCTAAGCATTGCAGGATAGGATGTATAAAGGATAAATATGCTGTTATGGATCACATCTATCTGCAGACATTGACCAAGTGAAAGTCCAAAAGTTTTAGGGTTGTAAATGGGTTGGGTTGGGTCAAGTAGATTCTGACCTGGACTCGACCCTATGGGATCTAAGTGAGACCCAGACCCAACGTAGGACAGGTCAAATCCATTCGGGGCCGGGTCCGGTTCATGACATAAAAAATATATAAGATTGTTGTGTTATATATAAAATATGTTGTGTACTTTTTTTAATATATAAGGTACATACAGTTTTTGCATACTCTATGTACATATACCTAGTCAGTTGAAGTCAGGTCAACCCAAAGGCAGACCTGACCTGATCTAATATGGAATGGGGTTGTGTCCAGGTAAAGTGGAACTGGACCCTACCCATAGGGTCCATGCCTTGGTCTAAATGTGGACCGGAGTTGGGTGAGCTCATTGGGTTGATTTGACCCGTTTCCCACCCATAACAGGTACACAACAAATCTTTACACCTTCAAAAGGTTGTTCACTGCTGTCTCTTCAGCAAGGCCCAATGTGCATGATCTAAACTTTAGAAGTCTTTCTGAGTCCACAACTTGGCTTGAAACCCTTTTACTTATGTAAAAGTTAAGCATGGCTGATCTTGGGTGCAATGAGGCGCTGGCCAGATGGTTTCATCAATTAATATATGACCAATTCCCAGGGTGCCTGAAGGGGTTATGTTTATGTTCAAAGAGTTTCACAAAGGGGGGTCATTTACTGAGGCATGAACTTGACATTCATTGCTTTTATACCGAAGATAGAATGGGTGCTGAACTCCTTAGACTTTGGACCATTAGCATGAACAGTTCCTCAAATAATCGCAGAAGTGCTGGCCTTTTGCTGAGGTCCATACTTTGAAGTCATCTCTGATCTCAAGGGTGTTCATCAAAGGCCAGGAGGGCTGAGATGGAGTGCTCATTGTTTGCAAAACGTCTCCATGCAAGACACCAATCCAACTGACCGGTGTTAATCCTTAAGCTGGACCTTAAAGAGGCATAGAACCTTATAAATTTGAGGATCCTAGGTCAAACCATGGATTAGATGGCTTCGGCCAAAGCTGGAGATGGTTGATGTTGGGCTTATAATAATTACTTTTTCTTTTAAGTGTCATGGATATATTAGGTTTCTTGTCCTGAGAGAGAGAGAGAGAGAGAGAGAGAGAGAGAGAGAGAGAGAGAGAGAGAGAGA